GTTGAGAGGTATTGTGGGAGCTAAGAGAAGAAAGCAAAGTATCATGTAACTGTGCACAATGTAGATAAAGTAAACGATTGATGGAGTCCTGTGAGAAATACTTGGAGACCCAAAATTTCGACCTAAAAAGGAAGAGGTTTGAAGTCTTCCTGCCAAGAGTTGACTTTCGCATTCTCTTCAAAACTAGTTCAAAGCATGAAAAAACGTCATACTCCTCTTGGGACTCAGGGAAATAGGCCTTTAATGCGGATCAAACTTGCACAAAATAAATATGAATTAATGCTGCTCAAAATGAATAGGGAAATAGTACTTGATATTTCGCATATCAGAAGAATCTAAAATAAGTGTAGACTATTATAATCACACGCCATTGGTGTGTTTATATGGTGGAGTGGTAGTGTGTTGAAACCTGTCGTGCCGGCGAAAGACATGCGAGGGTGAAAACCTTTTTGTAGGTAGGGCCGAGTGAACTTCACCGACATCACGTCATTGTGGAAAGCCTCAATAGACGGACCTCACCTCAGCTTAAAGGCATTAATGTGAGTCAAGTTGTGTGTTTTAACAAAGCCTCTTACCGGTGGGAATTAGAGAGATCAGAATCGACGCTGGCTGTCCATATCCCACGATGGCTCCGGTGATAGGATCCGGTTTGCCTTCAGCTGTTACCGTGACATTGTATTCTGTCCCTCTCATCAAACCAGTCAGATTAAGCATGTTTTCCGAGCCTGAAACTACTACCGAGATGGGAGAAGCCTGATACAATGGCGAAGTGGGTGTCAGGACTATTTTGTACCTGAGCACGGAGGGTGAGAAATGGAAATGCATAAAAGTGTTTGCGTTTTAAAGTGAAAAGTAAGCCTTCAATGCGACATGCTTACGGGTTCCGGGTTGAGGGAGCTTTGAGTCTGAAGTGAAAATCTTCGGTATTTCGTTGCTCGGCTTTCCATCCGAACGAATACGACCAAATAGAAGATGAGCCTCTTCTCTCGTAGCCTGACTGAAGTCAACCCTAATGAAGTGATCAGCTCTTAGCAGTGGCACCGAAGTCTTTATGAGATCCGAAAAAGAACAGCTTGTTGACAATACTTTGTCTTGTAAAAATACTAAGTTTCGAGGAATCTCTTGTCTCCTAATTGTTGAGCTTACTTCCATTTCGAGTGAAAGTGTTTGGTGAGAGATTCTAAAGTCGGTTCCACCAGAAGACGACGGCCGATCACTCTTGACCAGCTGTCGAATGGCTTTACTGGAAGATTCATGCACGAACACACATTCTTATTCAAAAATGAGGAATCTTCCAGAAAGAGCATCAGGGATCGGTTCTATCCAATCAACTTAGTCTCCGATCTGTACGGATCCAGATTGACCAAAAGTTAAGGGATGTTTCTTTTTGATTTCATAATTTCTAAGCAAGAAAAGTTGAGTTTCGAAGAATCTCTTGTTTCAAAATTGTTAAGTTTACTTCCATTTCGAGAGAAAGTGTTCGCTGAAGAGATTCGAAGGTCGGTTCCACCAGAAGACGATCAGCAACGGATTCTTCTTGACCAGCTGTCGAATGGAAATCATGACAACTTCTATGCCAGACGACTTCGGACTAGGTGCGTTCTACATAGTCGCCATGACAACAAGACCAAGTTGCGACAAAGAGGTCAACCCACTTCTATAAATCGAACGGAGACTGCGACTATACTAGAGGCCACAACATCTTGGTCTTCATATCTTCAAATAATTTGTAATTACTTTCGAACTCGACAGATATAGCAGAGATACCGGATATAGTTTAGCGCTTTTCCTGTAGAACTGTTGTGCTTCAAGACTACTCATTCTTCGCTGTGCAGTAAAGCACTTTTTACATTAAATTTGCTTGCTCTAATGAAGATGAGACTCAAAAATGTATCAGCTGATCTGAATCTGAATTAAATAATGGGTGACTATCAATTGAATATAACACTGGCTTCCAATGTTACGTAAGAACTTAATCAACTTAATCTGTCCTCGAAGAGCTAATTGGAAAACATAATTTCTTAGATCCTTTTCTATCTTTCTTTCATAAAAAACTGTATTTATGACAAAATCTAAATATAGTATTTTCCAATACGGTTCAAAGCCATCTGAATTATCCATTCGCTGATTTGTGTATATCCATACCATAAGCCGCCACTAGCATAACTCCAGTAGTAGGATTGACTCTGACAAGATGCAATTAAAGTAAGCGGCTATGCCAAATCAGTTTTTCATTTTAAGAACAACAAAATTATTTGCAGCTTACTGCTCACTAAGAACATTATTATATACGTTTGGAAAGCGATATTTCCAAAGTGAACTGAAGTCAGATTGAATCTCTTTTTACGATTTAACGGAAACATTGAATGATTACTTGAACAAAGCGAATACTTTATTCGCCATTCCATTTTGCACCATATAGTTCTTAAGGAAATGCTACAATGTGAGCGGAGGTTGGAGGATCATGTGACGATGACTGCTTTGATAAAAATGACAACACACTTTGCATTGTTTTCGGATAATACTTGCCTGATTTCGATATGTTATGAACAAAAGACCATCCGAAAAATGTTATTGTCCGTTTGCGTCACGAGGAGACTAATAAGCATTACTCTGATAGGAAATAGAAGCATATAGTGACAGTATCTTTATTAAACTACCTCTTCTTTGTGAGAAAGCTGCAAAAATGGCATCTCAATGGCCATTTTAGGCCTTGTATAACATTTAAACGGTGAACTGCTGCGCCTCAGACGGAAAGATAAGGTATTTCCCGAGATATTCGCGATTCGATAGACTAGAATAAAAATTAGTTATTGAGAACCTACGATGTTTTCTTCATCAGGACATTTTATGGAGGTACGGTATTTCAGAGAGTACGCTTATTTTCGTATTGAAATAGAGTTTCGAGACCACCAGTAAATCAGTAGTATGAGATGTATTCACTCAATTTCGTCTGAGGTGATGAAGGACTGGTAGAAGAAGAATTTTCCTACAATGATATGAGTTGAGCTGACGTTTCCATTGAATTTCACATAGCCTTGTTTTCCCAAAAGTTGTTATCATCCCGGCTCGAGTGGACTGCAGTTTCGACCTCGCATCGGTCCTATCAACACCCTCAGCTGGAGTCGATCCGCAAAAGTGCAAGATGGAAGCTCGACACGCTAACCACTTGGCTATGTGAAATTCAATGGAAACGTCAGCTTAACTCATATCATTGTGTGAAAATTTTTCTTCTACCAGTCCTTCATCACCTTAAACGAAATTGGTGGAATACATCTCATATTACTGATTTACTGGTAATCATATAAACAATAGTTAATTTGAAAAATAATGTCACAGGGCATAAGTGAATTTCAAGGAAGGTCAGCTCTTTTTGCTAAATAATATTATTTGATGGGAGTGCCGATAAATAAAACGAATATTTTCTATCGCAATCAACTACATTACTTATTTTCGTATTGGAGTAAAGCTTCGAGACTACCAGCAAATCAGTAGTATAAGATGTATTCCCACCAAAGAATATGATATATAACAAAAAAAATAAAAAAAAATAAAAAAAAGGTCTGATCTTCCTTGAAATTCATTTATGCCCTGTGACTCAAGGGTACTCATGGCAGTGTAGTTGAGTGATTAGCGTTTCAATCTCCCATCCTGCACTGTCGCGGTTCGAATCCCGCTGAGGTTGTTGATAAGACAGATGCGAGGTCGAAACTGAAGTCCACTCGAGCCGGGATGAGAAAAACTTTTTGGAAAGCAACGCTATATGAAATTCAATGGAAACGTCAGCTCAACTCATATCATTATGGGAAAATTCTTCTTCTACCAGTCCTTCGTCACCTTAAACGAAATGGGGTGAATACATCTCATACTACTTATGAGAATATTTGAAGCGAGATCAAAACTTCAGTCCACTTTAGTCGATATGAGAATAGCTTATGGGGTGCAAGGCTATGTGAAATTGAATGGAAACGTCAGCTCAACTCATATCATTGTGGGAAAATTCTTCTTCTA